ATTTTGTAAAGGTGCTTCGCAAAGTATAGTGCCAGATGAGGGAAGGGATATACTCCACTTTTTTTGGAAATAGGCTCATTTTACAACTCCCTCGGAATCCATTCAGCCGATTTTCTGATACTTAGAAGAATTTCAGTAACCAGACAGTTTCTGGTCCCATTGACTTCCATAGTAGGAAAAATATGGAAGTTAATGCAGAAAATGGCTGGTTACTGATATTTTTCTAAATATCAGATAATCGGCTGAATGGATTCGTAAAATCGGCTGAATCAATCCAGAGCTGATCAAATCCAGAACAGTCGGCAAATAATTATTCAGTCGTAAGGGGGCAGACTTGATCAAACACGGGGCAAACGCAAACCGTATCAGAGGAATCCAAGCGCACGGTCAAGATCAGGCTGACAGTTAGAACGGCAAGCCAGTCCAAGGCATCAGGCACTGAGGGGGTGACTCCAGATGGTCAAATCCAGGAGAGCTGTCCGAGGCACGTGAGTTTTGGAAGGGCAAACGGGCAACTGGACAGAAGAGAAAAACGTCAGACAAAGAAACTAAACTAAATGGGATCCCAAACTTAACAAAGTTACTACAAAGGAGGCTTGAAACACAAAACACACTGAGCAGTAGGGAAACGGATTGATATCAGAAATCAAGAGACAACGAGAAACAGGAGGAGAAACTGATTAGAGCGCGCGATCACGACGCAAACATGATCTATCCGAGGTATGCCAGAAAGCAGGTAGTGCAATATGCACGGGTAAGATTACTCAGGGTAAGGATAACCTCAACTTTTACAGAAACAGGTCTTTCCGGGTAAGTAGTAGCCATGGCAATTTATTTCTATTTCTATGCGCGGACACTTTTAATGCAATATGAAACGGCTAATGAATTAATAACTCCTCAAGAAAACTCATTTGAATAGCCTAACGTACGTTACGTTACTGCCGTGGCATTTGTGCTATAGCTTAACCTAATTTACTCATTTGCCCAAACTAATTTATTTCAACAGCTGTGAATGATGATAGTCAGTTCATCTATTTTGAAAAACATACAAAAATGAATAATGAAATTCACCCAAATTATTAATAAAACAACATAATAGCAAAACACAAATGAGAGCGTAACGTTGCTGAGCATTATTAAACGATGCTGCTATGCTAGCGTAACTTCGCAGACATTTCAGATGATTATGGAAAGATACCAAATTAGAGACATAAATATTAACAAAAGTATGTAAAGTAGACTGTGGGCAATGTGTTCTGACGCAGTTAAAGTACATTTGTGAATATAACTGTCCTCTCCAGCAGCTTGAATGTGTTCTCGTGGTTGATATCGATCAGTTAGCGCAGTTGACGGAAAAAAAAAGTGCCTGAGGAAAAAAAAAACCTGCGCGCACATGTGGAGGATATCACGTCACTATCTCATTATAAAGACCAAATAATCGTCTGACTTGGTGAAAAGAAAAACATTTTATATTAAGGGAAAATTCACTGTGTCGGACGTTTAATTACTCATTTTAAGTAGCAAATACTGCATCAGAGCATAGCCCATATAAAGAACGTGTAAATGATGGTATTGGCACGCACATTACCTCATACAATTACCAATATAGTTGTATCTTGAACGTTATCTTGTAACCTTGGGGGACGTTCTGCCAATGTTGTGAGTTGGTAATGTGATGGTAAAATTACGGCTATGCGACGTCGTTTTTACATTGTCAATTCTAAATTACCAAGAAGTATAATACATAACTTTTATGTTGTGTGTTAGTATGGATATTTTAGTTATTATTATTATTATTATTATTAAAAGCAGTGCTTTGAAAATAGAGAAAATATAGTCACAGTCCAGCTTAAGTAAGTTTGTAAAAAGTTATTGATTTAGTTCATATATACAGTATATAGGTGTGTGATGTCACCGTCCTGCTCAATTCAGTTCTCATATAATTGTGTCAATCCAGGCAGATCAATAATATTGTTGAATATTAAATTTAATGTTCAATTTTGCTATGCATTGCTATGATTGGCTGTACTCATGACATCACTGAGGTTGAGTCGCCCGACGGCTCTGGATATCTATGCTAGATATTTTTCTGGGCTCGGCGACGCGTCTACGAGCGTATTCGCAGCGTTGGTGGCTCTTTGTTGGAACCAGCATACCTCGAGTACGCAAGGTAAGATATAACTGTGGTGAGAAGGGAGAGGTCGAGGGCCGTGGAAGGACGGCGCAAGGCCAGTAGCGTGATTACTAATGAGCACACCTGCGCGACGCACCGGTCTCATATCTCTCACGGAGGAGCGGAAGCTTAAAAGGAGAAACAACGACCGTGGAGATCAAGAGTTTTGTTTTGTTTGTGTTTTATTATGTGACAGCAGTCGTCCTTGAGGGGCTGCTGTCCTTTACTTTCATTTTGTATTTGTTTATTTTATTATTCAAATGTTGAATGTTTGCCAGTTCCCGGCTTGTGGGATTTTACTTTGTTAGAAGTTTCCAGTGTGATTACTAAAATGTTCTTTTCATGTATTCCCTAATGTCTTATTTGATATCTGAATGCAGCAACAGTGCTTGCTCATTTAGCCCAGCTTCCAGAAATGAAATGTGGAAAGATGTTTTGTTTGAGAAAGGTCATATCTGTTCTTCTAGCACACCATGACGACTATTGGTCACAAGGTTCATTGAAACCAATAGTTTGATTGACCATTTCGTAGCTAGTCTTTACTTAACTGTGTTAGATTGAAGTGTCCTCTCCTTGGGTGAAAAAGCGTATTATCTTGATGTTTTGAGACAACTCTCATGTTTATAGTTAAGAGCCTGACCAAATCCAACCTTGGAAAAGCAGTGTTTCGGTGTGTGTGTTAGTCTGTTTGGTTACAGGTTGAGGAACCACTGCCATTACTGGAGATTGAGTGAGTTGTTGTTCTGGACAGGCTGGCGCCCAGCAACCCGAATCTGCGACCTGGAAGATCACAACGTGCCTAACTAAATTGTGGGACAGTCTGAATTGTAAGCAATATTAACTAATAAAAACTTTTTAAAAGGTCTGGCTGGTTTCTTCTGTAAAAAAAAAAAATAATAATAATAATAATAATAATAAAGCAAGGTATTGCTTATACTTTTTTCTGTTATAAATTGAAGCTTTATCAGTTCCTGTTCGTTTTAGAAGGTCCTTATATTTTTCTGTATATTGCCTTGCACATCACATCTAAGGACAGTTGCTAGTAAAGGCCTTGGGACTGTGGTATTGTTATGGGGCCCTCGACATTGTTATAATTCTTCTGGAACTCATTAATCATGTATCATTGGACCCAATTGACCTTTTTCATATTTCCTGGGCTCTCATGGTGTGGCTATGAAGATTTTAGGCCATTACTTATTGGCTGCTTGATAAAATAAATCCTCCTAGGGAGTTTGTGTCTGTGTGAAAGTGAGGGGCTGTTTCCACCATCTTGAAAAACTAAAATAGCAGAGAGGGACAAAAAGTACTTGGCCAACGCGTTTCCGTTCAGAGCCAGCGTGACGTAACTGAGCAGTGAGAGGCGCTTGACACGGCCCTGACAAGTTTCACGGTCAGTAATTCATCCTGTAACATTCGTTCGTTCGTTGTGTCAAGCTGCAGTTTGTTTGAAATCAGGGATGCAAACACGTTTATGGTCAAAAAAGAGAGAGGTAATCAAAGCCCTCGCCCCACGGAAAATATCCAGATACTTGCATTGCCACCAGCTGGCCCACCCCTAGGAACATATAGTAAATATGTTTCAGGTTTTATAAAAAGACAATGCTCACACATTTCAGCCTTTAAATCATTTTTCACAAAAAAGGTGTTCTAAAAAGATAAACCTCCCATATTTCAGTCTTTAAATAATTTTTATAAAAAGAATGAGTTGAAAAAATGAATTACTTGACATTTACATTAATGCACATTAGCTTATCTTTTATTATTAATAGTAAAATTCAGTCCGATTTTCCCGTGGCGTCTGTCGTTGCTAAGCAACCTTGAACTGCGCTCTCCGCAACAACAAAGAAGCTTCAGTAGCGAATAGATTTTCACCACCGAAAAACGCTTTCTGTAGCTCTGCTACAAGATTTATTTACGGAGAAGAGAAAAACACAAGACAAAAGTCACCCAAACTGAAGTGAAACAGCGGGAGGCGCCGAAAAGCGCGCTGTTTTCGTCCATGTGAAATAACAAACCTGTTCACCCGAAGGAACACTCGACGAAGTGCTTTTAGAAGAAATCCTGTCATAGCTTTTTGGTACATAACAGCTACTGTAGATACAACAACACGCATTTGAAAAAGCTAGGCGCTGAAGAGCACATTTAGTTTGAATGCAAAATACAATTTCACCGCAAGATGGGAGAAATTCCTACACATTGTCCCTTTAAAACAACAGCATTTTGGGGGCCTGAAAACAGTTTTCTGAGTGCACGTTTTTGAATATGATATGGTCTTTGGTAAACTACAAAAATGCTAATTTTTGAAAACATGACATCATGAGAATGCGTATTACGTGCAGTGCAGTGTTTCTTTATAAAGTGAGATCGCCAACTACTGGCCTGGCATTCATAGTTGTTTTTTCAGATTGTCATTTGTATGCTAAAAACAAAAGGAAAACATTTCCGTTGTTGTCGTGTAAATGTAGCCCAAGTCGTCATCATGTAAACTTATATAGTGGATGACGGAAACTACAACAAATATCATTTTTGCGTTCTCATTTGCTCCAGTAGCAACTAACTATTTTCCTGTAATTTAATGGCAAGGTAATACAACACAAATATACTGTAGTGTTACGTACACAAAATATCTATTAAAAACTTTGCTAGATTTACAATGTTAACAAATGTTAAAGCATGTCATCAATCTGAAAATAAAGGTCAATACTTTCAGGGAACCAAGGAACTGCCACTGAGCTGAAGGGGAATGCTACATTTGAAATATTTGTAACAGGACTTGTATGTCATTAAATAATACACTGTAGTTTTGACAATTAATAAATGAGAGACCTTTAAATATATCAATACTTTTATTGAGTGTCATTTTGGAGTGTCTGGGTACCAGACAAAAAACATTAGAAAACCTTTAACACCTCTGCTTTCCTGTCCTGTAGCTAATAACCGGGACCTATATTGGAACAATAATCTGTGCAATGTATTGAATATTGTTTTATTTAAAAAAAGTCACCTTAAAAAAAAAAGAGAGAGAGAGCAAAAGAATTCCCGAAAACAATACTTAACTCTGAACATTTTGCACAAGGAAAATACAAATTCAAGCAGAATGCATGTTTGATAGTTCCTTCCTCATTGTAAAATAAAGTTGAAACAAATAGTGTATATGTGTCTGTATGCAATGATGAGTATTTGTTTTTCCGTTTGCATTAGACAACCTATTTGAACTCCCTACAATTCCTAACACGAAGGGCAAGACTAAACCAGTGGTCTGCGCATAGTTAACAATTTTGTAACAATTACAAATCTCCCGTCAAAATTCCTCCGGCCCAGGCCACATCCTTTTGTACCATCCGTTTGGAAATAATTTAGGATGATGCAGCGGATGTTGGATTAATGACGTCGGTGCACTGCGGTTCACAGAAAGGACCGAAGCGGCCGTACACATCTTTCGCCCTCACGGCGAAATAATATGTCGACCCCGACACAAACTGGGTCAAGGTGCACGCCATGGGCAGCGGCAGTGCCTTCACCTCCCCGATCTTCTTCCACAGCGACTGAGCCGAAGCCCCAGTGCCCGCTACTGTCCCCTGGTTGTCCTGGTGATAGGCGTACAGGTGATAGGTATCTACAGCGGCGCAGTTGCGGTCCGTTTCCGCAACACACCAGGAGAGGACGATCCCGTTTTGGCTCTGGACGCGGGCCAGTTTGAGCTGGGGCTGCTGCGGCGGTGAAGTGTGGGCCGCCTCGGGTGGGAGACGTGCCGGTGGTGATGGTGCCAGTGGTAGAGGAGGAAGAGACGTGGAGGAAGAAGAGCTTGGGCGGGAAAGAGATGGAGAATCCTAACAAAATAAAAATAAAATGTTAAAGCATCAAGAGAGAAAGAAGTGAAATTATGGCCTTTGTATCCATCATCTTTAAATATACACTCACCACAGAGGAACGCTGTGCAGATCGAACTCCTGAACATGGGGGGCGGGGGGAGGGGGGGAGTAAACCATCAGTATAGTATACTGAATTTATTCGTACAAAGTGATGTACAACGCTATTTAATATTTTACACAGCAACAGCAAGATAAAAATATGATCACTCACCTGCATTAGGGGTAGAGCTGACTAAAGGAGGCGGCCCAGATGTACGCTGGGTAGTGATAGGGGAAACAGTGGCTTTCTGGACTCCTGTCACTGCAGAACACCCACAAAAAGAGAAAAGTATTAGGAAACGGTAGTTTGAGAGATAAAAAAAAACTCAACTATGATGAGAATATTTAGCAGTGCGAGTTAGTAAAGGTTCGGTCACATTTGCATTTCATCCACACGATCGTGTGAAAGCGGAAATGTTCCCTACTTAGATTTCTATTATATTCAAATTGGTCATGCAAATTTGACTCGCTGAACAAGGAAGCCTCTTGGTTTCAAACTGACTTCAGTGAGCGCTGTGCTTTATACATAACTGACCTTTTTGCACACAAAAATTTGCTAATATGACTGCACCTTAAGATTGAGGAATAAAGAGCAACTGTATGTTACCTTGAACATCGTCATCGTCTTCAGTTAGATCAATCACAGAACCTTTGGGACGCCCAGGCTGTCGAAAGAGGGAGTAAAATTAAGTATACCACACTTTTACTACACAAAAGTGGTATTTGCAAAGACATATTTTAAACCTTGCTTACCTGAGTGGGTGTTTTTGGTGTTGAGGCCTGATTATCTGTTAAAATGAGAAAGTAAAATGATTGCATTATGAAATTGATAAAGTCATAGCTTAAATATGCATTACATAGTAATAAATAAAGGCAATGGGTCTCATTCATGAAACATGAGTGATTTGTGCGTAAAGAGACCTTCCCGAAAACTCTTCTCCTGATTCACAAATACTTCGTAAACGTCAGATGTGATGGTGAAATGTGTGCGTGTGTTAATGAATTCCAACCAGTCGTAAATGGGATGCGCGTGCACGTTCATTCTCAATTACCATAAATCCCGCCCACTGTATCGAACTGACGCATATAATAACATGAATGCGAATGAAAAAGAAAGATTTCTTGGATGCAGAAATTGAAGTTTTATTATCAGAAGTTCATTCAAAACGCCACATTTTATTTTCAAGCGTACATAGTGGCGGAAAAAAGGAAGCTTGGCAGCACATTACAGATGCAGTTAATGGAGTTTCATCTGTTAATCGAACAGTCCCAGAAGTGGTTCGACATTAAGCTTGACAGCAAAAAACGAATTAGTTCACTTCAGAAAAATCAAACAGTCGATGACCAGATCTGCTATTACTGGCTCTCATAATAAAAGTAAAAAGAAAAACCGTATGTAATTACAATAAAAAATATTTTTTCAAAATTCTGTTTAAATATGTACCCGATTAAGGTGAATTAAAATGCAGCCTTATTTATTAATGAGCAAAACGTTCGGATGTTAAGAAGGGCACCATTTACGCGTGGCTGGGAGCAGGTGTAGATTTCTTGCGTATAAACTAACATTTGGAAAATACGAACATTTTAATGAATCAGAAAATTTACGCCAGAACCACTTGACACACAAATTTGTTCTGCTCGTGTTTCATGAATGAGACCCAACGTGAGAATAATAAAATACGCTACAAAATATTTGCTCCCAACACCGGGACGAATATCGGCGCACGTTATTTGCTAGTGTTTTTTGTTTTCACACCCAAGCGATTTTCGCTGCCGATAAGCCGAGTGAACATGCAAATTCATTCCCTGACATTAGATGGCGCCCATTTGCTCTGCAATACCACTCCATATCAGTTCTCTTTTATCAAGATGTTTGTAGTCACAGTCATCAACGAGACCAGCAGCTCTACATTCATCTTGCCTTGCATCTTCCTCGTCTCATTTCTTCCTGGCAGTGTAGACGGCAACGCTACTAGGCGTAGATCTTCTCCATTACGCATGTGTGCGCGGTAAAACAGTTTTGTGTTTGAGCGCCCCCAAGTTGTGTTTTACAGTAAATTCAGAAGCACCAGACACGTAAGCAAAAGCGCCAATCTCATCGGTCGGATAGTTTTTGACGCGGCGCGGCAAACTAAAAAAAATAATAATAATTTTTTTTAATTATTTTTTTTGTTGTTTAAAAAAATTACGTTTTTACGCATGGCGTTTTCCGCGTTGGTGTGCACACTCACATTGGCGCCCCTTGTTTAGTCACGAGGCATTAAACGTCGGCGAATATCACGCGTGAAATTCGTCCCGGTGTGAACAGGCCTTTATAATATCTGGTACATGCTTTGAATTTTCAGGAATTACAATTTTCCAATGCGTTTTATTTAAAATGCTATTCTTCATTGCTTTAAATAGCATGGTGTAACTAAATCTAATGCAGTATGTCCCTTATAACCCCCAATGGGCTCTATGCACGGCGGTATTTCCGGTGAAGGATTAAGGATGCTCAAAAACTTCCGCTGATCGTAGAGTCCAATGCAATACCGAGAATTTATATTGAGTTTTATACTCCACGGTTATACTAAAGAGACGTTAGTCACAAAAACAGATAAAACAGACACCCCTCGTTGTGTTTATGCGTCTTTTTAAAATTATATTAAATAAACATAACTTATATATAAAATTACACCTAAACGTATGACGTTTCGTTTCAAAGACGGGAGGACAGTAAATTTTGAAGACTCTGCCATAATCCCGTTTTCTTCGGTTTTCCTCCACTTTAATCTCCCCAACCGGAAACTAACGAGCATCTTTGCGTCAAATGCGGAACTTATGTGTGCATATAGCCCATTGGAAAAACAGCAAAATTACTAAACAGAATAAAGACGTCGTCTCGTACCGGTCTTTGAGGCCAATGCGGAAGCTGATGGCGGAGCGGCTGCCGCTGATCCTGTCGCTGCTGGTCCCGTGGTTCCTGGAGAAGAGGCGGCTGTAGACACCCCCACAACAGCAGCACACTGAATGGGTGTTCGGGCCGTCGTCACGGATATCCCTGTGCTGGGTGAACTAACAGTCCCTGTGCCACCCGGATACACGGCTCTGGCCAAAGACACCGCCGGAGCTGACGATGTGGAGGAAGACGAAACAACACTGCCTGCTGGCTTTTGAAGGATGAAGGTGGTAGCAGCTGTAGTCGTCTTTGCCTTATTGATGCTACTGACCGTAGATAGTGACGACACTGGTATCAAACCAACACCACCGGCAGCATTAACCAATGCCCCGCCTTGCCCATTCGCCATCGCTAAAGGCAGCTGAATTAAAAGAGGCTGAATAGACACTGACTGACCCCCTGATGTCACCGGGGTGTTAGTCATGACCCCTGTACCGGGCCCAGTCTTTAATAGTAGGGTGCCTGTCTGAGTCTGGCCAGGCAAAGATGTGGACGAGGGAGTAGAGCTTGTGGTTGTGGAGATGATCTGAAGAATCGGTGTAGAGGCGGCCAGAGCGGAGGAGGCTGGCGCAGTCGGTGTGGACAGAGGTTTGGGCTGCGCTGGGATTGCTGAGAAGAAAAACAAGAGTTATTTCATGGAATAGTTACTAAGCATATTGCAAAAACTAGAACAAAAGCTCACCAGTTGAATTGGAACCAGTGGGTGGACTGGACAGTTTGGTTTCCATTGTGGTTTTAACAGTACTGTAAAAGAACAGAAATTGTAGGGTCGCATTAAAAACGGCAAAATAAAAATAAGTGGTGGGCAAGCATTTCACATATTGTTTACTGTAGCATTTTGAATTAGAATTAGCAGAGCTAATATTTGTGTCTGGAGAATTAGCTCTTCTGACAGAAACACTCTTAAATGGGGGTGGTATAATGCCCTTTTTTATAAGATGTGATATAAATCTGATGTCCCCAGTGTGTATGTGAAGTTTTAGCTCAAAATACCCTTACAGATATCTTTTATAGCATGCTAAAATTGTCCCTTTCTGAGGGCGACCAAAAACACATTTTGTCTGTCCCTTTAAATGCAAACGAGTTGCTGCTCACGGCACAGAGGGCGGAGCTTCAACAGCTTGTGTGTTTGTGTGCGTGTTAGTAGCTCCGATTACCTCACGCAGACAAGTACTAAAATGACAGAAACTGCTCTACCTTTTATGTTCAAACTGGAGTCGGACAATGATGGAGAGACTCAAGTCACAACGTAGAACGTTTCCGAATCGTTAGTTGATGAATTTATGTTGCTGATGTGGAGTTAACCATATTATGTCACGATAATCTATAAAATAGCTTGTGTGGGAACTGTTGTAATATGCATACAGAGTGACATGCTATTGCATTTGTGTTGCGTACTGTATTGCACGTGAAAAGACGGATGCGACGGTTTGAGCAACAACTCTACAACAACAACAACTCTACCTCTTCTCAACATGGACTGCATGTTCCCGTTTATGTAAATTTGAGTGTTAATGATGTCACTAACCAGGGAGGAAGCTTGTATAGTCCCTACCAGCAGTTTGTTGTCCTTAAACTCTTTCTTAAAAAGCAAATATCTCACTTTGCTTTGAACTTTGAGCGTTGTAACTTTGCAGATACGGTTTATGCTCAAACAGCAACATTACACACTAACTAAAGTTAAAAACAAGTGAGGTCATAACCAACCACCCCTTTAAAAATAAAGGTTATTTACTGGCATCTATGCTTCCATAAAGAACCTTAATCGAAGACGTTCGATTTTTTAAAAGTTAAGACAAAAAAATAATTGTTCACTGAAAGGTTCTTAGGGGAACCAAAAAATATAATTTTATGGCGTTGCTTTTGGAACAATTTAAAGAGCAACTAAACACTAAACCAACTTTTTTTTAGTTAATGATCTGTAAGAATGGGTCTTTATTAATACCAGTCATTGATTCGAGTAACTTTTTTGACATTTGTTTATAAAGTGTTCTATTTCTACAATATATGGTGTAAAAACGTCTTAGTGCTGCCCTCTTCAGGTTGAACGGTGGCTACTGCAGTTGAATTTTCCTATTAGATGTTCCGCACTTCGTGACGTACGCAGGTTTCAGCTCACCACGCGAGCTACGCCCACTCGTCAAAACCACTGTAGGGAGTGTTGTGAGTATTGAAAACGATCAGGATAGAGTGTTTTAGCATCTATTTCGTCCCCTCCATCTCCGCTGGGGTCAGCGAACTTTTTCAGCATTTTCAAATATTGCCAGTGGGTGGAGTCAGGCTCTGACCAGGGGTTTAGTTACCCTTTAAGAGTGTACCGAGAGTTTGTTCAACCAACATGAAAAAGTGATGGTGAAATTTCTAGATCTTGGCAAGCTGGAGCCCTACAGCTTTAGGGGCCATTGACACAGAATGCATTTTTTTGCACTAAAGTTGCTCCAAAGGGACGTCTTTGACCATTGCGCTCACATGTTTTTCGCGCATAACACAGCACTCATGTTAAAGAAATTCAACTTAAAAGCATTGCCTTTTTACCTATTCCACTGACCACTATTTTATTGTTTTTTCAACACAAAACACATTCTGTTTGAATGGCCCTTTAGAATGAGTAAAAGGGGTTGAAGACGTTTACAGAAGTGTAGGTTAGAAGCAAATCGATTGCAACAACTTGTACTAAAGAAAAAGTAGCATGATCTTGTGAAGATTAATAGAGGATGTGTCAGATATGTTTACCGTTGTGGTGTGGTCATGTTGGTTGCATTGTTGGCCTGAGCAGCAGAGGCAGCATGAACCTGATTAATGGGAAGCAAAGTGCATTTTACCTTAGAAGTGAACTAAACCTTACATTCAAAAGCACATTTCGCCTGCAATCAAACACTAAGAAGTGTATTATATTTCTAAATAAGGACCATATCTTTATTCCACAATAACTTGACAGAAAATTCACACTCTTACCTCTTGATTTCTCTTTGAGTTCTCGGAGGCCTGATTAGCAGCACCAAACTTTTTGGCTAGCCGTGAAATCTTAGCCTAAAGTTAAATCACAATTGTCTTAATGTTATGTGTCCAGCATGATACTATTTTTAAAATTACATACTGAGATTGAGCAAAACATTCATATGTGGTTTAATGCTATTCAAGCATTCCAATAAAGACAAACTTGTTTCTATTTGATGCACAATAGCAATATTTCTTGTATTATTCCGGCAAACATCGATTCTAGTGAAGACTTAAACTCACCTGTAGTGTGTTAATATGCTGCAAAGCATTCTGCTGTTTGGTTGCATTGTCGATCTTCTCCACTCTCTCTTTCAGCTCTTTAATGCTCCGGTCAAATACAGTCAACTGCAGCACCCGTAACCGTTCCTCAACTAACTGCTGTACCATCTAATAGGAAGAAAGACGAGAAACATAAGGTCTTCCAAAAGAGAAGAGAATTAGACTTTAGAGACTATGTTTCTCATGAACATTATATAGGAGTATTCCTTTCTACAGATAATTGGGAAAATCCCCCAATGAAAATCTATATTAGAAGAACCCAAAAGCAAAATGAATAGGTCCTTATCAGAAGACTTGGATTGGACTTCCGTCTACTTTTTATTAACTCTATAAGCTTGAACATTTTGGTTGAGTGAACTTACAATATTAAATAAGAAATGAGAGGTTATTAAATCTTAATTTGTGCTTCCAAAGCTGAATGAAAAACATTCAAATATCTTCAAGCCATACAGGGGTGGAATGTGAAATTATGACAACGTTCATTTGTTTTGGTGAAGTATCCCTGTAAAGTATTGGTGGTGATGGCGCAGTGGATAAGACACATGCCTTTGGTGTGAGAGACCCGGGTTCGAAATCCACTGTGAGACACCAATGTGTCGCAAGACACTTAGGCTGAATCCCAATTCTCTGTCTTACCCCTTCCCCTTCGTCTTACCCCTAGCCCTTGTCCATCGAAACCGAGTGGTAAGCGCTATTGCAAACATACCCGTATGAAATGATGATCTTGCATCGTCCTTAACTAGCGTCTGTGTCACCCGGGGCAACAAGTGTTCATCACAAACTTCTCGAAACTTTCAAGATGCCGTCAAAATGTCTGGGATTAGGCTTTTGCTTTCCGTCTTCATTATTCATTAGGTTTACATGCACAAGGTGTTGTTTCAATCGGACTGAATTCATTCATTTAAATCGGTGAATCTGAATGTATTGTTGATCTAATATTCCCGTGTTTTCATCTCAGTCGGGATCCGTTTGAAGCTGAATGCATCATCTGAGAAGCTGATCACGTACGTGTCTGTGTCAAATAATGAATGGCGACTGTAGAAACCAAAAGCTGAATCCTGGACATTTTGGGTGATCTTGAAATGTGGGACTGATTGTGCAAATCAGCAATGTAACGTTAGCATAGCCTAGCGTAGCAAAGAAGCGATTTTTAAAAATGTTTCAATAAACAACATAGTTGCAAATATATATGGACATAATTGTGTAGAGCACAAAACAAGGCGGTCATATTTTTTATCAATCATTTAAGCGAAAAAACTTGTGCATTTCTTACCCCTTGGTTTCAAGTAAGCTCGCGAAAATTCTTGGTCTTAAGGGGTATATACCCCTTCACCTTACCCCTACCTACCCCTAGATCAAAATGAGAATTGGGATAGCCCTTCCTCTCACGTGAAAGCGCAAAACTAAGGGGAAGGGATAAGACAGAGAATTGGGATTCAGCTTAAACCCCTAGTTGCTCCAGAGGCGTGCGACCTCTAACATATATAGCAATTGTAAGTCGCTTTAGATAAAAGCGTCAGCTAAATAAGTAAATGTAAATGATACACAAGGCAACTTTGAGGAATTTTGCCGTCAATGTGCACAACCAGGGTCTAAAGTAGCCACTAGCCAGATAGAAATTTGTTGCCCATTCTCAATGGGAAAGTACCCAAGCAACATTGCTCAAAAAGTTGCCCCGTGTATCACCACCTTTTTTGTTGTGCATGGTCAGTGACTGCATGCTACAGATGCTGTAGATAAAAATTAGGATTACAAACCTTCTCTAGTTTATGGCGGTTCCCCGCATTGCCTGTGATTTTCAGCTCCAGCTGAGCCTCCAGCTCCTCACCCTCAAGCCTTGCTCGTTTTCCATCTCTCTCCTGGATTTCTTTGTCATCTTCATCTTGCTCCTCAGACAATGCTCTCTTTGTACCACCAGGGGAGCTGTTGTCTGCTGCTAAGTAGAAGCAGAGGAAAGGTTTAGGTTTAAAGGCAGTGCCTGCAACCATTAAAACAGGGATATTAGCGTAACGAACGTTAGCTCAAACGCTAAACTTCATGTCGACACTTACGTAGGAAACTCAAAATAAATTCTACTGTAAAACACAAGATATATTGAAAAATGTTGCAGCTTTTTTTGTCCATACAACGGGGTCAAATGTTGTTTTTTTTACTTTCATTGAATGGCAAAAAAAAAAAAAACGGGAACTCAAAATTTGTGTTCCACAGAAGTGGATTGAGTTTATAGAGAAAATTTAATTTTTTTTGATAAGCTATCCCTTTAATTAATCAGATTACAAAGTAATTCATTATTATCAGGATTTGAGGAACAAAAAAAAGGGAAGCTCATATTTTCCTCTAAAGTATTCAAAGGAGTGCCTTTTTTTACAGTCTCCAAAAATAAATTGTATGGGAATGCAAGAATGACAAAGATCTCACCACCCCGAAATTAGAGATGGACCAGTAGTTTGCAGGCGGGTTGGGTTTCTAGACATTCTCACCTCCTGCGTTTTCAGAAGTGCCTTTTTCATCTTTTTTGTCCTCCGTCTCGTCATCTACATTCATCTTCTCCTCGCTACTTTCTTTCTTTTCATCTTTCTCTGCTTGGATTTCATCCTCTTCGCTCAAGCACAGAAATCCTTCTTTAACCTCTGGATCGCAGTGTAACCCAGATGGAGAAGCAGAGAGAGAAGAGGAGGAACTTTTATTGCTTGTCTCCTTTTTCTCTTCTGTGGCCACAAGGGGGTCGTCCATATCCATAGAAGGTGAGGTAGCCTGTGCGTTGGGAGGGGATGGGGATCGAGAGACAGACGGAGAAGGAGAACAGCGAGCTGAATGCGGAGCAGGTGACATCAAGTCAGCCTCCTTATGATTCAAGTCTTTCTCCTTCTCCTCGGTGTGGGTGCCATTCACCAGCGGTGTCTGAGGTTGTGATGAGGAAGAGGCGGAGCTGGAATTGGTGGTTGTCAGGGTGTTGTGCAGAACTTCAAGTTGTTGCCGATCGCTCATCTTCATAGTTTTCCGTGCACGGAAGATTTTCTTCTGAGGTTCCTCAGGTACAGCTACTTCCATTTTCACCTGCGGAACAATAGGAGGATATGGTCAAACAAATGTTTTACATCCTAAACAGGCTAGTTAGCAAAACTCCATGCAGTACTCAACACATCTGATTAATCTAACCAAGTACAAGTGCCTTTACTGCAGAGTGACCACAAGGTGGCACTGTCATTCATCTAAAAGCCATTTCCTGCTGTTCTAATTTTCTCTTGACCTCAAAACACAATACCTTCTCTTTTAACTGTAACAAAACCTTGGACTAAGGCTTTGGCAAGTTTTTTTTTCTTTTTTTAGATGGTAATTGATCCAAAGTAAAAGTATATTAAATCTGTTTATCCACACTATCAGTCTGAGCTGAAGCATCTCTCTAATAAAAAAGCCCACAAACCACTAGAAATCTGTTTTGAAAAGAGTTACCTAACGAAAACCAATAACCTTTCTCAGTTCTATTGACATAACTAGCGAGTTGGTAGGGCTGTAACAGCCAGCAGTGCATCTGCTATCAGAATAATAAGAGGGAGAGCAGACTTTGTGTCCTCCCCCTCAACGTGATTGGTGCAATTCTTAGCCAATAAGAGCAGCACACCACAGAATCTGCTAGCGACAAGAGGAGTTCATTATATAATGCAGATTTTCAAAGTTACAATCGAACTAGACTCGTACTTCTGGCTCGTGTTAATCACAGAAACACATTAGTTTGTCTTACCAGGCTTCTATAATGTCTCGTACTATCCTGTTCATGGATTAGGCAGCCAGTCGCTTGAGGATCCTAAAAAAAAAAGAAAGAATTGAAATATTAGATATGTTAAAAATAGTTTCGCACACATTCTAACTCATTTCATGCTTAAGTTAGTTCTTCAGCTCATAACCAGATCCTTCAGCTCCCTAACCTCATGTTTTAATTAATAAATTGCTCTCAAAATGTTACGTAATCATAACCCAGTAGTTTAGCATAACCGATGAGCGCTGCTGCTGGCATGCTCTCTAACTGATTATCTAGCAATCTAGTCAACATTTTTCCTTAGTTCTATGTATATGATTACAATCCATCCTGAATCTTTAGCCAAATGTTATGACAAAGGCCACATACAGTGAACTCATTGCAAGCTGTGCAAAAATAACAACATCTACAGAGAAAAACAAAAGAACTTGAGCAAACAGCTAAAGAAACAAAGCTGGAGACATCCTGCAATTAAAGTGGATGCTTCTCAAATACTACACAACTAATTAAATTCAGAAATTAATACATCACACAATGCGCGTTAAAGTAGTACACTGCAAATTGTTATCCTGAGAAGACGAGGTAATATTAAAACCGATTTGCCAATTACAAAGACTGAATTTTACTGGAGGACATGTTTTAAAAAATAAATTACAATGCTGGTGTTGTCTTTCAACGCTTAAGAGACTATAAGTTTCTAAAATAATACAAAACGAACAGCCTCCTGGCATTTAAAAAAATTCAAAACTTGTGATCTGAAACCAGAAATAATATGGTCAAGTTTGAAATTAGTGTTACTTAAGCAGCCATAGAAATGTTCAATAATGAACTCCTCTCAGCCAACACCATTTATAAAAAAAGATTAAAATACCATAAACCTCAAAATATTCAACAATTTCCTTTATTTTACAATACTCCCAATGATAAGAGATGAGCAAATTGCTAGCATTGAACTTGCTATTAGTATCAAAGCACCTTACTGGATCCAAAAAGTTAAACTTCATTCTAATGCTTAACATCAACTTATTCTCAGTACTGATTATCTACTCCAGTTATTCTCATCTTTTCTTCATTTACTACACTAGCTATCCCATAAAAATATATTGCCAAGATCTGCAAGCATAAATCCACAGGACACCACATTGCTGCTGTGCAACAAAATTAGCAATCGTCATCCTGGCAGGTGTGAATGACGCGGCTTACATATACACCATTAGCAAAAACCTCCTGTCAACAGCCATTCCCCAACGTTCTGGTATCCATGACAACCACGAACTTAATTCAATTGTAAGTTCTATTAGCTTTGACTAATTTTCCATTCTAAACACTGAAGTGTCACCACAAACAGCTGAGTCAGGTGCAAGACAGGTAACAAGGTTGTACAACTCACAAATGAAGGTGTCAAGCAAGCTGACTAGACAGCTATTTAGTAGCCCAAAGCGAACACTAAAAAAAATTGACATTTGATGTCATAAATCTCCCCCACACCCCCCAAAAAACACTAATGTGTGACAAACTAAATAGTAATAAAGTGCATCTCTGTATTCCTCCATGTCCTCGGTTTTATGTCCACAGAAAATACATTCATTTTATAGAAATGGCTGCTAGCTTCTGGGAAGCTTGTTGTTCTAATGTTGATCACCGCGCACAGCCTCACTGTGGCCCTCCCCCACCCTAACTGTAAACATAGACACTGAGGTTCCCGCTCATTGCAAAATGGTCGCCAGAGCTGCGGTGTAAAGCCAGGCTCAGTTTTACAGTAGGCCTATTTCTTCTCCTGAGGCTCAGGCCTGAATATCCAAGTCCCATTCAATGTGCAAGTTGATTTCAGCGATATAACCTCTTGTGAAAAAAAACTATTCGCAAAATAGCCGAACATTGTATCCCGTATTGAAAACCGTTTCAAGGTAAAATACCTGCCCGATACCTGCAATAATTTCTATGGTAAGCTGACAAAAAAAAAAAAATAGTTTGCTCTTTCTAAAATAAGCAAATCACTAATATTCCATTAGAAGGTGTTAAATGTCAACAAAAAAAAAAAAATCGCTAGGAATTGCGTTCGTTTACGGTTTGCACGCAATCAACACTTCCTGATGCCAAAGACCAAAGTATGACTTGAAAATATCCCAGTCAAATGTAAAATAGATGATCTCAATCATGTTAGAACTGCACAATTCTCACTAACAGCCAAAACAAACGAGACCCAAAAAAAATCGTAAAAAGGGTTGTTTCTGCGATGATAATACGAAGACATGAAAATCCATCTAGAATTTTTCTTAAAACAAATAAAACAAAAATCCACCACAATGTCCATTAATCTTACAAGTACACAACACTAAATTTGAAAGCGAAAAACTGAAGTCCCCAATAACCAAAACAGCTCAAAAAACAACCTTGAGGTTTAGTCTTCAGGAGTAGGCCTTGATTAGTAGGGAGCGCAAAAACGGGAGCATGCCTAGCTTCCAACTAGCTCAAAGCGCACACAACAAGAAAAGAGGAACAGAGAGAGACAGAGAGAACGGGAGGGGGAAGGGATCTCATGTGGAGAGGCGGAGCACATTCTTTGTAAGGTGTTGGCTGTAACTAGAATAGAAAAACAGTGTAGCTACACACAATTGTAGCGTTACAACCAACAGGCCAGTGTTGTATGAAACAAAAGGTCACATTTTGCCTCATGATCAGCCTGAGATGATTCATCTCATAATAAAATATCACTGATATAAAATATCACTTATAAAAACCTGCAATTAAAGATGTTAAAAAAGAAGACATTCATACAAAAACCTTTAGAAAAGAGAGGAAAATGAAGAACAAATGAAAAAAACATCAGCAGCAAGAAAGAAAAACTGCCATATGCTGTAAAGCAAAAAAAACCCAGACCCCTCCCCCACTGCTGCAGGCACAGAGAAAACAGGGTGGAAAATTACTGCGATGTGGATCGTACCATTGCAACAGAAGAGGGGTGTCTTACGTGCACCACTGTGTGTCAACACAAGAGGGAGCTCTGCAAAACTGAATCTGCTCTGCATTTTAAAAACAAACCAAGTGACAACAATTTGCCTATATACATTTTTACTAAAGTCCATAATTTTCAATCAATCAACTTTGTAGCGTATATCCCAATACAGCACAAAAATCTTTTGGCAGTAGCTTTGCTATTGCACAAGAGCAGGTTTATAACAAGGTAAAAGGTCAAAATACTGCCATAGATAAATGTAAACAACTGAGCAAATGATGCCACACAATTAAGCATATTCATATTTCATGCTTTTTTACTATAACCTCTTAGTCACATGGAAACATTCTCAGCTCATGAACATTTTTGTGATATTTCATGACTATGCGAAATCAAATAACTGACAAGAAATTCATTTATTCTATTCATTGTTGTCCTATAAAGGAAACCTATCCTGACTAAATATCACTCAAAAACTACATTTTGTTAGGCATAGCAGTTAGTGCAGGTGTTTTGACACATTTGACTAAAGTGTTCATTCCGGGCAAGTACAAGTACTAATCCGGCTCATCATGACATTTTCCGATTTTATTCCCCCCTCTTCCCCCAATCCTTTCCTGTCATCTCTCAACTGTGCCTATAAATAAAACTGAAAAAAGGGCCTAAAAAATCCCTACAATCAGTCCTTGCGGGACAAAACAGAGGATCGTATCTAAACAAATCTTTTCTAGTTCAGATGGCTGCTATTTCTGCTGTCAATTTTCACATACACACAAAAAAGAGAAATATTAGCACAACAGATTTAACAGATCTCATAAAAGCCTAATGACATTTATGTTGCAACTCAGCAGACAGTATTAGCAAACATTGAGGAGTTCTTCTCACATACTCAGAAGTCTGACACGACAAACCAGACGCGACATGACCAAAGCGCTCTTCCACATTAATCCGCGCTTCTGTCCTAGCCATGACAAGCGACACTGCACTTTGCCCATCTCACGGTTTCCCGGTTTCCATTTTTGTAGTTTTACCAGTTTTCACAAACATCAAATATGACAAATCCCTTAATATCCAAAAGGATATATATATATATATAAAAAAAAAATAGTGCCGACTAGAAACACATCATACAAGTCATGAAAACACAAGGTTTGTGGTTCTTATCCCTGGTACACATTGGCGATTTCTCTGGTCCTCTGTCATACAGTGAGAGGTTCAAAGATGCCCATTTTCACGGTCTTGCAACCAAAGATAACCTGTGATAATTTTCTGACAGAATCTCACAGTGCGTTTGCTGGTACAACCTACGTCTACTGACTAGCCAATTAAAATGCGACATGAAACGGCATATTGATCAATGCGACATAGCACTAAAAATAAAAACTACTTAACTCAAGCTCAATTTACAAAATTGGCATGCCAAGTTAGCCTCTTTTACCTAGTCTATATTCTCCTTTCATTTACGTTTTTTTTTTCAGCGAACATAAAAACCACAATTGCCAAAATGTGATTCATCTTTCTCTATTTGTTTACCACTCACGAATGCTGACTTTATTCTCCTATACCAACTTCAATAGTTGCCATCATCGTACAGTCTACATACATGTCGTACACAAGTTTGTTAGATCCATGTCGTAGAGTGTGATTTGTAATGATCTTATAGGATTGCCAAGATCACAGTCTGTTGGAGGCATTAGATTGACGCAGTTTCAGCAGAGAATGCAAGAGAATGTGCAAAGTGAGAAAACCACATACTGAGGTTATTTTGTCGCAAAGCATTTTCAAAGATCACTTGCTGTAGAAATCTAGTTGTACCACATCTGGTTAAGACATATGTCTGCCTAGCAGCAGTGAGCTTGTCAATGCCTCTTTCGTACTGACATATTTGGCGCCATCCACAATCAATAAACGTGCATGAATACACACACAATGAACCTAATACTTCACAGGCAGAACTCATGATCATGAGAGAGCGCAAGTACGACTAGCTATCTCACACCAAGTGTGAATGGAAGGAAAAGAGTTCTCCGCTGGTCCTCTTTTCTTAAAAAAAACTTTAGAAGACCACTAGGAAAAACATTCCATGAAACTG